TCCCACAGCTCCTACGCCTATGCCGGAACCTGCCAGCGATCTCTTTACAAGCTGACACACCTCTCTTCCCGCGTCTTCTTGTTAGGTAAGAGATCCTGGGAACGAGTTTTAGTTGTGACTATTTTGTCACGCAAGCGAGACTTACTTATCGCGTGAATTATTCACGGCCTGAAATTGCATGCGTAATTGCACTGCTTATACTGTAAGGAAACGGAGAATATATTTTGCCAGCTTAAGCCAGGTGAAGGGCATCGTTTAGCAGAGTGACGTTCTTTGATCCACGGATTATTTCATGGACCTGACAACTTCATTTATTTGGCAAAAGTTCACCTTCCAAGTTTACCATTGGCGATCAGTTGCTGTGACCTATTTATTCTGAGTTTATTGCTGCATTTGGTGTCAACTTTACATACCGTTCGCTTCACTTAGCTTTCACCTAAGCAACGGGTACTCATGGAAACTGAAGATGTCTTGGAAGTACAAATACGGGGAACAACTTGGAAATATATAGACAAGAATCCGACAGATGTATGACTTTCAACCGATTTTACTTTTCACGCAAGACTGATTTTCACAACATGGCAAAGAGGAAGAAAGGAATTTCTAGAGGCCGAGTATGTATTGTTTTATTTCTTCTGATTCTAGCAGGAACATCACTGTTGAATATAATGTCTGTCTTGCAAACTACTTCGCGAACAAGCAGCGCCGAGAAGGAACCGGTCGAATATGACGTGCTATTTCACAGACAGTCGTTAAAATCTGTTTTGCCTCCAGTGTATTGGACGAGAGAGAAAACTGTTCTATCGAAGGCAGGTAAGTTATCAGGAAAATACTATCTTAATAGCATTGGGTTTACGTTCTAATGCAACTGCTTAGCGCCCATCAACTCAAATGGCCTCAATAAAGTGAGTTTTTTAACAGTCACATGCGTAACCATTATATAAATGTATTCATGTACCTCAACAACAACAACTTTTATGCGTAATCAATTATGGAAATAAATGTGGCTTTCATAACACAGCCAATCATTCTACTGTGCCCTCAACGGTAGTTTGCAATACGCTTGCTTTTTCAACGTATTGTTTTCATTAGCGTTTCAAAAACGTTGTAAATTTTACCCATGAGAGAGGACTGTAATCACGAACTATACAGAAAAATAAATTCATGTTTAGTGAAAAGATAGACTACACAACAGGTGCTCCGGGTACATAATGTGTTTTTCTCTGTAACGACTGTAATATTCATAAGGCAAGCCGGGGGGTTGCTGAACGGACAGCTTCACGGTAGGTAGGCTGGCCGACGCTCTTGCGAATCGTCACGCAATCTTTCTTAGCGTGTGACGAGCCCAAATAAAGTTTGCCGAGGAGTCGAGTTGCGGGAACTACAAATTGACCGAAAGATTTTCTTCCTGGTGGAAATTTANCATCAACTTCAACTTCAACTTCACTTTATTTTGCACTTACATCAAATGTTTCCGTCCACACTTCGCCGGAGGAATTTAAAGACGCAACAATCATCGGTCGTTTTGAATTTCTTGTTTGAGGAAAACTCTGTCAGGGAGTTCACATGATTATCGTTACGCCATCGTCTTTGAAAAGCTCCGTTTTCAAAATGATTTTGGTCCACACGAAAACGACAAAATTCGTCCGGTTTGAAGAGCATTTTCGAAAAGCTCCGTTTTCGTGACGGATTACAGTGGACTGTAGGCCTAACCGTAGAGAAAAAAGCTGCGTTTTCAAAATTATCCGGCGTAGTGTGAGGGAACCCAAGAGTACGGCGAGCATTCGCGCGTGCTGAAAAAGTGGCACCTCAGTATGACGCCATATCTATGATTATCCTTGAATATTTCCGCTAGACTCACCAAAAACACATTTGTTAGTAAGTGGTGAGTGTAGTGACCTAATGGTGAGTGTACTGGACTCTGGAACGAACTACGTCATCTTATCCTAAATTTTTCAAGTTCTTAATTCGTTTGTAATAGATGTTAATCTTCTCCATCCTTAACCGTCCCTGTTCCTTTATGATTTCTTCTTATCTCTTTGGTGTATTTCTGTCTTAGAAAGCCACTATTTTCTGGTTTCCTTCAATTTAAAGGTAATTTTGCACGTGGCCAAATAACTCAAAAATATCGCGACTGAGCTTCACTAAGTGCTTATGGATTTTTATACAAATTACTTTTGCAAATTCTTTGGTAATTTTTACTTTCAGCGTTACAAGAAATCGCTAACAGCGTCGTTTGACCGATATCCTGAAGCAAACTACCTTGTTATTTTGGAAGAAGATCTTGATGTGTCTGTAGATATTCTTAGCTACTTTAAATAACTTCTTCCAGTCTTAGAAAACGATGAAAGTCTGTACTGCATATCAGCTTGGAATGACCAGGTATTAGC